GGCAGAGGGAGTGGCCTTAGCACGAGAAATCCAGAGTCAAATGAAAGTAATATATCGGTAGATAGTGGCTCCATTGAAAAGAGGGTGCGGGTATAGAGTGCTTTCTATGAGGGTATAGAATTTTCAAAAGCATAAAGTTTCAGATTTCCTCCAGCGAAACATAGCTAAGCTTGATAAAAGATGTCATTTAGTTCACGACATCTTTCTTGAGCTCAACAAAGGTCAGGTGATTTACCACAGCACTCTCATTGGTTTAGTTCATTAGTGGTGATATCCGCTCTGTTAAATTACCACTTACCAAACACTGGTTGATTCCCTTGCTTGTCGCCGGCCTCTAAATCATTTCTAGGTTTCTTTGTTAACCCATTCTCGACAACAGACCTGGAATCTTCGCAGCGGCTTTCCTCACCGTCACTGTTACCTATTTAATCGAAAAACAAAACAAAAAAAAATTTAACAACTAAAAGCACGCAACTATTCGTAAGAAGTTTCAAACGCCTTTACTTCCATTGATCTCTATTACGTGGTACGTCAAATGGCATAATGGTTATAACAAACTGGTGCAACAGATCTGGTAATTAATACAAAACAATGGAACAGTTTTCATTTGAGTATCGAAAGTAATCCTGGCTTGCTTGGGTTTTGCTTTTCTTTGACGCTCTATGTTTGGTCTAGAAAACTCGCGTCACCATTTCAACCAATCAAATGCCAAAACGAAAACCAATCCCAACTTGGTCACCCGCGTTTTCCCGCGCTTTTTTTCCCGCCTGTTTTTTGTTTTAGTTCTCATTGGTTAATGATAATAACTTTTGTTCTGATTGGCAGTTGTAATTACTTTGGTTTTGGTTTTCGACAACTACCCTATCAGAGCAAGGTAGCCCCTTGTCGTGTACTAATACTCTGGCAGATTTCAAGTCGGATTTAAACGTAGTACTCTTATGTATTTGATTCATCATGAACATTTTTAAAGGAACATTGGGAGCAGCGTTCAAAACAGCTGCTGCAACTTCACTGTTTCAAAGCCGATTCTACAGGTACATTTTTGAGACGGGTAGGAGACGCTTTCACGATTTGGTTGACGCACTGCGGTGCGCTAACCTGGCCGGTTAATTGTGCTGCTTTTTGGCTGGATATTTCTCTCGCACAGGCCCGCCATGTTCCAAGGAGTATAAAGCATTACAGCGAATTGTTAGGGTACACTGTCAAAATTTGTCAGAAAAATTGGGGACGCCTGAACATCGTTGTTAAACAGTATGTTAATCTTTTGTGTTTCTGAGTTTTTTTTTTTCGTGTATTTGAATAAACCTCACTTGAAGCAATTCTGTTGCTTTCTGCAAAGGACTCCACGGCGGACATTCCATCTTCTTCCACAACGTCTGAAACGAAATATCAATATTTGAAGACAACTTGCGATTCACGAAAGACATAAAAAAAAAACATGTTTCTCTGTTCCACACAAGCTGGACTAATTTTGTTATAATTATTGCGGTTTTTTTTCGCAGCAAACATAAAAATCAACGCCTCGCTTTATGATTCAGTACTAAAAGAAGAATAAAATAACTCCTTCACTGGATAAGTTTGGATCCGGAGAGTTCAGAAAGAGAAGGCCGTGAGATCCCAACCTCAAATCATACCAACAAGGAGTTAAGTTTTTGTCAAACATTTTCCCATTGAAAAACAAAAAATTACAATTTCAGGGAAAAAAAAAGGGAGGCCAGGGCTCCTTAGGTGCCTCTCTAGATCCACACATGATAGCGACAAGTCTGCAAAGGAAACAAACGAAACAAACTTACCAGCGATATCCGGGCTTATCACGACTCCACTTGCACTTCTTAAAGTTATCACTGGCTGTCGATTGGCCGAGTCCTGCTGAGGACCTGGGACTTGCTTGGGCTTGGGTTCAGTCCACTCTCTGTAATAAAGCGACTGGTGACGCGGATTTGACGTCACTACGGGTGGGCGTCCAAGCCCCGCCCAGCGCGTCTGCGGTGTTGTCGGAAGCAGCAAATGCTTCGGGTATCCGTAGAAATCTGACTGGAATGCTTTGAAGACGGATCGGGAAACAAGGATCACGGGCAACGGATAGTTGGAAGAGTAATGACTCGTTCTGCACACTGTTCCACTGCTTGTATTTGATTCGTCTTTCCCGTCAGCGCTGGTCTGCCCGCTGGACTCACTGCTGCCATCAGCGCTCCTTGAACCAGATCCAGAGCCGATGTAACAGGCAATGGCGCTGAATTCCAACTCCAGGGACGAACGATATACAAATCCCCTGTCTATCAACCGCAAGTCGATATATTTCAAGGATCTGTGGAGAATAACATAGGTTAATGATACTATAGCCAAGTTACGGTTAATTCTTAGGAATCCTACGGCAAGCTCGTATCGGAGCTCTTCTCATTGCACTTGAATCACGACACCTCCTGGCAGTAATACAAGTGTACCGCTGGTAAACCGAACCTTGAATATCAATAACCAACTGCAACACATCCCCCACTAACCTCGGAAAAGTGTCCCCAGGTCTCTCTCTGCCGCTAATGATAATAATACATGGAAGATCGTGAAGATCTTCAAAGCACTTTGGGCTCCATTCTTTCGCAGATTTACTCTTGCCTCCTGACGCACCTGGAAAGGTAAATCAAATTCGCAATACAAACAACACAAAACACTTCCATAGTACTAAAAGACATCATGGCTACCAATACTAGAAAAAATACCAGATGGGTAGTGGGTCATTTTCTTACTATTTCTGTTTAGTGCCGAAGGTTCTTAAAGGGAAAAGGCATGCCCAAAAATCGAACGTATGAAACAGAAACGTAACTACGGTAGTCAAGGATCTGTTAACTGAAAAACATTTCTTTCTTTCGTGCGCTCTTAAAGGAGTTTCATTTGTGTCAACTTTTATTTTGGCATGCAAAACTACCTTCAACTTCAAGGAGACAATAAAACATTTCCGGGCAAGGAGGAAAAACATAGACGAGACAATAGCGAACCAAAAAGGATCGAGAATAACCAAGGATGGACAAGATTAGAACTGACTGCTAATGACGACCTTGAAAAATTAAGGCTCAACTTTTTATTGAAGATTCCCAAACTGTACTGTAACCCTCCTAACTCTCCTTCTGCATTCAACCTCGATCCCAAGGAGAGAGTATCCTAGGAACGAGGTCGCCATATACCATGAAACTCGATTACGCTTTTCAAAGCTTGAATCAATGACTGAAGTAATTTCTTGTAAGCAAGTCGTACTAACCTCTGTGTTCTTTCCACCATCTTAGCCGAGTCAGGAAATAGTCTTCAATTTCCAGTTCACTGTGACCATTGTCGTGGATGATCGCAAATCTAAACTGGAATCCAAGCCTGTATTACAAAATAAATTTGTTCAAGTTAACCCTTTCACTGCCATGATCACAGTAGTACTTCTCCTCACTGTCTGCCATACAATTCTTGTGATGTTGGTTTGGAGAATTTAGTGTTGCATAATCCCTCATTGGTTGGATTTCTTTTTTCTCATCATTGATATTGTATTGATATTGTAAGGAGAAATTCTGTCTTGGTCACTCTTGGGACCGAGAGGGCTTAACTATAGACGAAGGAGATCAGGCACGCTTTCGATGTCAACAAAATGTGTCCCTTATTCTTTCGGTTCAAACAAGACGGCTCTGTCATCAGTTTCAAACACCCGAGCCAAACAATAGAAACAAACGAATCAATGAGGGAACAATAAAAGTTACACTTGGTTCCTTCAGCACTCGCGCGGACATTCAATATCCTCGTCTTCTTTGAACCATTTTAGCAGAAATTAAACTCGAAGCATGAGCATGTCTAAGTTAGAAGATTGAGGTGTCTAGTTATCTAGGTGCACAGTATTGTGTATTCTCCATGCTGTTCTCTATACATTTCCTAAGGTGCTAAAAAGGAGAATTTGTTAAACAATCAAGAGCTTCTTTCGTTGGCGATCATTTCCTTTATTCCCGTGCCCTTAATGTGTGATGCAAGGGTGATATTGTGAAAAGAAAACACTTCTTAGATCTACGCAAGTCACTCTAAGAGATCAAAGAGTTAACTGACCTGTTACGAGTGTTTTTCAGGCTCTCAAACGCCAGATTAGAAAGTTCCACAGAAGGAATGCGTATAACCAACATAGCGCCGCTGCCATCAGTATTATGTACTGGGGACTCGATGATTTCTCTCATGATCTGTATTGTCTTTAGTGTGCAGTGTGGCTCGGCCGGCTTGATACCAGCTGACCACATGATAGCGGCGCAGTAGTGTCGGATGAGAAGATAGCACCTCAGGACACTTAAGTTGACATCATCAGTGGTTCTGTGCAAAAAGAGAAGCAAAATTTTGAGTAACGGAAACCACTTTTATACTGGAGAACTACATCTCCGTCGCAGCGGCATTACTGTTACCTGGATCACTTGATCAAAATCAATCATTCACACAGTCAAACCTTCACTAACGGCCACTTTTTTTTGATCCCGTCGGCCTGTCCATACATTATAACCCTACCTCACCATAACGCCCATCTCTCCACAATGGCCACTTTCTTCTGTTCTCAAGGTGGCCGTTATGGAGAGGTTTAACTGTGTTTAAAAAAGGACAATGGATCTAAATTAAAGCAATTTAAGCCAAACAATGTTTAGGACCAAAGCAAGCAAGGTAGGAAAAAAATTTAAATGGAATTAGTGGATTGTTCCCTATGATCGGATTAATGAAATCTTAGCTTCTCTACTTTACCTGCTGGTTCGCAAGGCCATCTTCTCAAACGCGTCATCCTGCCTCACCAATGGAAACTGATGCGTCCATTTGATAGACTCGCAATATTCCTTCATTCCAAAATACGTGCCTTCATTAGTCTCCAAGTTATGAGCATTTTCCACCACACTTGAGGAAATCCCATCTGGCATGGAAGAAGAATAATTGAAAACATGTTGCAGGTATAGCACATTTCGATTGAGAGTTGTAAAAACCAAAACGAAAGCAATCACTTCAGCCAATCATAGGAAAGAAATTCTCACCAGGAGCTAGTGAGAACTCGAAGTAAAGACAAGGAAACTGCCTGAAGCGCGGGAAAAACGCGAGTGACCAAGTCCCGACTAGAATCTGATTGGTTGAGAAGTTGGCGAGAGTTTTCAGGACCAATCACAGAGTGAAGTAAAGCAAAACCAAAACTCCCGGATTGCTTTCCACACTTTTATGTGTATAACTTAAAAGTGACAATCCCAAAATAAAGGTTCCTTAGTATTACACCAAATAAACGTCAAGATTTGTTTTTCAGCGCCAGTCTAAGTAACTCCGTGATTAATTAAATACTTACCTGTCTCATTTCGAATGTCGGACCAGTAGACCTCATTAGTAGGATCAATGAAGGAGCAGTTAGTTTGAAAGAGGTAAGGTGTTGCCGTAACAAACAGCGCTATCATGTTACGAGCTTCCAAAAACTCTTTATAGTACGGAAGATCGAGAACACCTTGAGGGCTTGCATAGAACTGCGCTTGATCAAACATGACCACAAACAGAACATTAGGCTGGCTCTGCACTTGTTTTAGAAGTTCTAATAATTCTCCTTCGGTCTCGTCCTTTCCACTGTGTTTGATGACGTATTTTGAAGCTGTTTTAAACAAAGCAGCTTTGTCAGCAGTTTCAAGGTCCAGCTCGGTCAGAAGTCCAGACTTGCTGAGCCTCTCAGCGGTTTGGTTGAACAGCGTTGTTAATGGAGGCACAATGATCGCCATGGAAACGGCCGTAAAACTGTTCAGATCAAGCGAGTTAATGTTCTCCCCGATGGCACAAACTTGGGCCAAAAGTTGCTTTGCGATAAGATGCTGGCTAACGAACAAGGTGTCTCTCTGAAGTGGGTAGGCTGATGCCGGAGCTCTGGGTTCCAGTTTTGATGCCTCCTCTGCGACCACCTTCGTTCTTGCAAAACCATTGAACGGAACAAACACAAACTGCCCCTGACCCATGGCTTCCTCAAAGTTGCCTATCATTTGTTCTAGAGCGTCGCTAGAAAGCTTAAAAAGTTGTTCAAGTCTGCTAAGATTGTCTACAATCCGAGCACCAACAGGATGACCTATCATAGCCTCGGACAAATACTTAGCTTGAAGAACACTGGTAACTAGCACACAAAACTCTGGCGATTTCTTCTGTGAGATGGCCAACACAAAAATAAAGTCAGGCACTGGTATTTTGGGAAACTTAGACTGATTGTGTCTGTGAATTTCTAAGACAAACTTCAAGGCTCTGAAAATTGCATTATCTAACGACACGGGCGAGGACACGATTTTGACTCGCCCTTTAGAGTTGGCTGCTGTTAGGCTTGCTAGCACTGGAAGTTGAACGTGTGTGACCGCATTGCTTTGAGCGAGCAGGTGAGACTGGGACTGCTGCTGAGCGGTTACGGTCAACTCCAGTCTGGCATCCTGCAGTAACGACTCCACATCCTCCCGACAGATGCGATCATCGTGAACAAACTGAGAAAGATACTGGACCATCAGAAGCACGGCCATCTGAGTTGTTAGATTCGGGACACTGTTGTGGTAAGACCTGGTCCTCTGACTGTCCGATGATGCAGCTGAGCTGGTGCTGTAAACTCCTGACATGTTTCCAAACTGATTACGATCCGAGACGAGTGGTGGGGCAAAACATCCAACCAGTAGGTCACTAATGATGATGTCCTCCATGCTGCAGGGTATTTTGGGTATGGAGTGCTGACATAACAAAAGAACTGGACGAACACCACAGGCTGCCGTAAGCCAGGGTGTGGATGGCAGGTCTCCTGAATCAGATCCTTGTACCGATGATCGTGCAGTATCACTGGAATGACCATCATCTAAAGACAGTTTGAGAGCATTTCGTAAACACTAAACCACATTAATTCACAATAGAAGAAATTATCATAAACAAGCCGAGCCGTTATCGTATGTAATACAATTTTGGTTTTATCAACTAAGTTGATGAAGTTAATTAGCCACCGTAAAGAGTTTCAAAGCTGACGTTTCGAGCACTAGCCCTTCGTTAGAGCGAATGTAAGGGCGAACGAATGCTAACGCTCCAAACGTCAGCTTTGAAACGCTTTACGGTAACAGTTTACATTATCAACTCAGTTGATAAAACCAAAATTACCTTGTTATACTCCCCCACCGACGCACAGTTTCTTTAGAAACTTGCCCACTTTTACTCAGTTATCGCATGTAGACTACCTCAAGCGGAAAAAAAAAAACAAAAACAAAAACAAAAACAAAAAACACACGAACGAACCAGTCCCGATTGGTTTTAGTTTTGAATCTAAACAGTTAAAAAATGGCACTTCTTTCTTCGACCAATTACATAAAGACAGAAAACTACATAAAATCCCGGGTTACTTTCGACACTCCATTTTAAAAAAGTGTTAGGATGCTCGGGTTCTCACCACTTTCCAGAGGCGACTCACTGCCGACAGACTCCCAACGCCTTCGTTTAACCGACATCACTGGATGATAAGACTGGTCAACTTGAGTATTCTGACTGGACGACGACATCAAAAGCAGGCCTTCATCTCTGGGTGATGCAGATTCCTGCCTTGACACGGAAGTGGAATGAGACTGTCGAGTAAGCAAGTGATGAGGGGCTGAAAACAAAAAGCACAAGTTATAAACACTGTCATTGCCGTCATTTATCCACTAAGCGCCGCAGCGTTTATTTGATCATTCGCGGTTCGAAAGCGGCGCTTACTCCAAGGGAAGAAGGGGGGAAGGGAAGGGGAAGGGGTGGAAGGACATCCTTAGTCATTATTCCTTCAATTTTTCCCTGTGCTTTCTGTTTATCTACTTTGAACAGTAATCTGAAGAACCACAAAAAAACGAGAATGATGCAAACACTTGCTATGGGTGATGATGACATAGAGGCGCAAAATGTATTTCAAAATAAGATCAAGGTGAAATGATGACCGATACAGAGGTCACCTACACGACATAGACCATTGTGATTACAAGAAAAGACCAATGAATCCATCAAGTATCACAACAACAGCCCCGTTTATGTAGTGTTGTGTGTCACAAAATTTTTTCAGTCCCAGGCATCTTTTCTGCAATTGCTTAGATTTTGGATCCCCTACGAAGATCACTGGTTTGCTTGATTTTCATCCTTAGGTCACATAAAATTTATTTCGTCAAAAACTGTAATTCCATCTACATGTAAATCATTTGTCATCTTTGCTTGCTTTTGCCCGAAGCATTGATTAGCACACCTGAATTTAGCTACAACAATTGTTCGTTTATTATTAATAGTAATATGTTTGGCTAATTTTTTAGGTGACCTTGAAAACAGTAGTGGCAAGTTCCACGCCTGATTACCTGATGTAACTGTTACATTAGGTCGAGGCATCTCACTGGACATCTCAGTTTTAGCAGAGGTATAAGCAGCCGGTACATAAGGCCCTGTCAGTGGGAAGGTCCGTTTTCTACCTTCAACTGTCATCAAAAATAAGCGAAAAATGAATTATTTTTAAAATATAATTAGCCATGACAGCTTTATCAGAGGTCAACCACAACATTGTGGAGACTGTACCGAAACCAATGTTACAGTAGCATTCCATGACAAAACTGAACACTGTACATGTTAACATTTAAGTAACTCCAATTCAGAGGACTTAAAATTGCACGCAAAAGACTTAAAATGCTTTGTTATTTCCCTTCCCTGCGAGCTTCATCTGTCTCTCAACTCTCTTTCATTGCCCATGTCATAAAGACATAGAATTAACACATTGTAAAACTGAACAAATGCAGTTGAAAAAGGGCCATTGGCTTGTACAACTTAGCCTGCGTTCACACTAGGTGCCCGTGCATTAGTGCCAGGGCACCAGCACAAAATGTTCAGACACTGGGTACCTGATATATCAGTCCGTGGCTCAGAGCCGAGTACAAGGTCAAAGACCTCAGACTTGGGCATGGGCACGGTGCCCGAATTTTGGCGTGGGTATTTGGAAAAGAAAGTGTGCTCACATTCGTACCCATCAAGAATGGTACTTGGGCACCATGCTCAAGCACCAAGTATGAATGCAGCTTTAGGCTGCCAAGGTGCCAGGGAAGGTGTATTGATTTGGGGAACTTAACATTTGCATCTCATACCCTAACACCACTCAGTGCTATATTCTTGTTCTAACTCTATTGTAAAGCATGTCTGAGATAAACAATATACAGCATGTCACTGAATGGGAACTAGTGCAACAAAGCCACAAGTACACATTACTAGCTTCTTTAATTGATGATCATTTCCTTTATTCTCCTGAGTCTAATGTATGATTCAACAATGACATTGGTCAAAGAGTTAACATTGAAGAGTGCCTGGCATCTAACTTCTCCCAACATTATCACAGCTGAATCATACAGCAAAGTCTGGAGAATATAGGAAATGATCGTCAACTAAGGAAGTGTTTTTGATTCTTAGCCAAACCAACAAAGTCAGTATTACAAGAAATATCAAGAGAACTGTAAAAAGGGGAATATGTATATCGAAGTAAAGATGTACAGGGTTAAACAAGTGTATATAAACAAGTTAGGTTCAAACCTTTCCAGGGAATAGCCAGTCCCTTGCGTAGCCTTCCACTGGGTTCAATTACAACATAGTACTTCAAGTGCTTCTGTTTCTTAGGCTGTGTGGCTAACTTCAGATTGATATGACTTGAAAACTCTGTGAAGTATCTAAAGCCCTTAGCTCCACACCCAATACAATTTCCACTAAATCCCAGCATTGTGACATTGTTCTTCTCATCTGGCAGAAACCTCTTGTCCACCTCAGCAACGAGCATCATTCCTGGCAGCATGGGTGATTTGGCACCAACAAGAGTAAAACCTTCAGAGACGTGCACTAATTTGCTATTGAGGTAAGCCAGTCTTAGCTCTCCGCCAGCTTGACAAAACCCTAAATATTGAATAAATACTGCCATTTTAAAATGTTTAAGCCTTCAAATCCTTTAAAAACCCCTTGGAAGGATCAAAAACTAATTTCTCCTTACAATGTTAAACATAAAGACAATCTCATAAGCAGACATTACAATGAAATATACCTGGTGTTGCACAGATTGGTCCTGTCTGTACAGGTCTGCTGTGCATACCAGAGGACCTAACAAAAGATTCAGTCACAGCAGGATGCACCTCTGTTTGGTGCACATTAACATATGGAGAACTTCTCTTTCCATTGCGGGACTCTTCCTCATCACTACTGAGTTGAGCTTCGCTTGGCATATCACTACGAACAGTCTGGCTTACTGACATGGGAGGTGTGCGTGACTGTAGTAGCTGCATTAACCTGGGTGAATCTATAACACAGAATTTTCCACATTAATAATTGTGTGACTCCCAGATGTGATTGATGTGAGACTCCTTAAAACTATGATACACTGCTAGACTGTTCAAAAAACGTCCTGTTTGTGCTTGATTGGTCAACGAGGAATGCACAAATAGGTAAACCCTTTTACCCTACGAGTGAATTAAGTATCTAGTTTTTCTGTATAGTATCATGACTGAATCAAACACTATAGTTGCACACAAAGAGGAAATGATCACCATCTTCAGATGAGAGTTACAGAGTGAAAAGTGAGAGTCATTTGATTTGCAACAGAATTGATGCTGCATTGAACAAGCAAGTTCACATTTTTCAGATTCACTTTGATTTTCAAAATATTTTTTTCCAATTTTTCACTGACCAATGCAGTATGTATTATTCTTAAGTAGCTCCGTGTTGAGGAACTTCACATAATGCATAAAGCATTTCACCACTGACTAACGGTCAGTAGATTTTTTGACATGGTGATAAATTTGAATGAAAATGTTTCCCTGCCAAGTTGATATTAAGCCACTTAAATTCTCCACTGTTATCAAAAATCAATAGAAAAAAGAGAAAGTAAAATTATATGAAATTAAGACTCTGTGCATTTTATGCTGATTCAAAATAGTGTACATAGGAGTATTCAAAACAACCAACTGTTGGAAAAAGTTGAAAAACATTGAAAAACACAAAACATATTTGATGATTAGATCTTAAGACATACACATGTATGTATGTATCTTGGATGTACGACTGTCTTTTGTTATAAACAACAAATTAAAGGTTTGTTTTGGAAAAGTTATTCCAGCACAAAACATCTTTAATGATCATCTTATGCCAATGGTTTTTATGTATCATGTATGTATGGCCATCTTTCCTTACAAAGAACAGATGAAAGGTTTGTTTTGTTAAAGTTATTCCAGCACAGCTTAATTATTACACCAAACAAATATAGTTCACAGTTAAAAAAAAGGATTCTGTAAGTAAAAAAATAACAGTTACGGGTTTAGTAACAATATCATTTGTCAGCATAAAATAGCAATTTGAAATCAATTGATTGGAAACACAAAACATATATTACAGCTCAAGTGATGTAAATGATATGAGAAGGTGCTATATTGGCTGGGCAGACTCATGCATTCATGCAATCTACCTTGTTCAAAGGATAATACCACTATGCCAAAAGGATCACGTCAGAGTATTTACATCAGCAGCATGGAAATTCATTGTATTTTGTTGAAAATAAGTGCTACCTAACTTCATCAGACAACTTTTCAATTCATCTTATTCCTGTCGCATAAGTTTTGAGAACTACATTGAAATTACCATAAAATTTAGTAGTTACATAGTGCTATATGATACTACCCTTTAACAATTAAGGTAAAAATTAGATTTTCAAACTCAAGATACATTTTGTAAACCAAATTTTGTAAACCAAAATACATACCAAGGTGCTCATCTTTCTTTCTCACACAACAAGATATTTAGACCACTCAGACTTTTAAGGTAGAACAACTGTTTTATATTATTGCATGGCAGATGTGCGTAACTTTGACTGAACACTAGGTGGAAAGTGTTGGCCTTACAAGGCATTCGTAAACAAGATATTATTACATAATCCCATATAGCATTTTCCTGAGAGCATCAGCAAAGTGTGTCTATATTAATAGCACATCAATTAACGGAACTTCCTGAGAAAACCAATATCTTGTTGTTGACAAATGCATAAGGGAAAGAGATAGGCCACGGCAAAAGATTAATACTACTCATGCAGCTAGCGGCCTTACTGGTATTGAAACATAGACAGTCACATGGATCCGTATCAGTCTTGATATCTCCAGATTGAAGATATGGTCAGTATCCAACTGAACTAGAAGCTTATAATATTGTTCTTGTGGAAGAAGATTAACCTTGTGTCATGCAAGCAGTAGTTACCAAAAGTGAAAAAGCATTTTCAGAAAAATAGTGAAGAACTTTTTCATGTGGCTCAGTTATTCATTCTTCATTTCAGATGGATATCGCTATCAACTTCTTGACAATTTCAAGTGTTTTAAAAGCTGGGAGCGGTTTCAAGGAGAGGATGCATTTGATGGACACCTGATAATACCAACAAACATAACGAAATGAATGAAATAGCTGTGTCAGCCACTTCCTGTGCTTCTAATTACAAATAATTTCCACCAAAACATACAATTTATTCTAAATGAAAATCTTCCCTGGCTACAACTCCTCTATGTAAGCTACTGTCAAGTGGAACACCGACACAATAAAAGCATTAGTGATATAACAAAGTATTGAAGGACATTATAACGTGTCAACAAGCATGACCAACTGTGCATGTGGTCAACGTGATTGAATATTGGCTAAATTTCACTTTTGACATTTTTTTCTGGAAAGAGATAAGGACAAGGAAACACAAAAAAAGAATAAAGCAAATATCAGTGCATTTTCAATGAAAAGAAATATAAATAAACATTTCCAGTCCAGTGTAAGCCAAAAGACACATTTATTTATTGCCATTCTCTTCATAACTGTGCAAGAGAAGATTTTTTCAGATATTTAGAGCAGTAAAGGGAGGGAGGGGGGACAGGAGTTCTTTGATGGGGAAGGAGGGGGGGCATCCACATTTTGATTCAGAAAACAAAGAATTAATTTTTTTTAAAACTACAGCCAAATTTTGCATCAAAGTGAAGGATTCAGAGAGCAATTAATCTACATTTTGAATCGATCATGATTGTAAGTTTTCCTTTCTCCTAGATGACCCAAGATAAATAGGACATTATTGTAACCTCAACAAGCAAACACTTGTTCTAACAGTTGATTTAATGACTTCAAAGGATGAAGAATACTCACGCCGGGGTACTAGAGGGCACATTCAAGGCTCCAGATTGAAGTTGTTTTCAATGATATTGTCAGTTGTCAAAATAGTTTTTGACTGAAGTGTGACAGATTTAATACCAGGTTCATTCAATTTACTTATAACTTTTAGAGTTTCAAATACAAAGCTAGCACAAACTGTATTGATCACAGCTAACTACAAATGTACTGATCGATACCTTTTAATAGGTGATTTTTAAGAATGTACATGTAAGCAACTATAGTATATTGTCTGCTTCTCACAACAACATTGTCACTTGTTCGAACACCTTTTTGGTCTCAAAATACAGTTAGGTCATTGAATCTCCCTTCTAATTCATGGTTTTTAGTAGCAAACAATATAGTACTTGTAACCTTAGCAAATTAACTTTCAGAATTTGATTTAAGGAGCTGATGATGCCATTCATAAATAATCTAACTTGACCTGAGAGCACCTTAGAATCAATGGAATGGATTAAAGACAAATTCCAGTGGCATAATTATATTTTGTATCAAACAAGCTTGCCCTTGGCCATACTGGGAGAATATCAGCCCTCAGTTTTTTTTGCAATGACCTTGCTGCAATTTACCCATCCGAGGCCTATATTCTCCCAGTATGGCACTCACGCTTGGTCAATAAGATACACATTTTCTGTGATTAAACATATGCATTGTTATCACTGAAAGATAAGCTGCACCTTGAATTTGGTAACTCAAATTTTGGAAATGCAATTTTTTGAAAGGAAATTGAAATAAATCACAAGTAGAGGCTTGAGAAAATTGCTATAAATAGCTTGCTTTGTTGAGCATACACCTGTATAAATTCATTAACATTGAAAATTGAGATTACTTTGAATCCTTATCAAAGGAGTCCTGCTAATTTAGAGTTAAAAACTAAGAAATAAGAAATTACTAAAATATACACAGGATAGAACATAAGAAAAAAAACACACTAAGTTATAAGCTGCTAATTAAATTACTGATGACAGAGATCACAAGTAAAACAATAGAAATTACAAGTAATTCCACCAAAAAAAACAACTTTTAAAAAATACTAATAAGAGTATTCATGTAGAGGCGCAGTGGCCTCATGGTTAGTGCGCTCGACTCCGGGTCAAGTGGTCCGGGTTCGAGCCCCGGCCGGGACATTGTGTTGTGTTCTTAATTAGGCAAGATACTTTACTCTCACAGTGCCTCTCTTCACCCAGGTGTATAAATGGGTACCAGCAATTTAATGCTGGGGGTAACCCTGGAGTGGAAAATCTCAGCTGGCCCGTTTAACAGCCAAGCGATTTTTCGACCAGAGCAAAGAAACACCGTCTGCGATTTCATTTGTCATGACGCTTAATGCAGAAAGTTCAGAAACACTTTTAGAATC